CTAAAAAACAGTTTCATCGACTTTCAGATTGAGGGTGGGTCAGGGTATGATTGTAGCTATGACATTAGTAGTTGTTATATTCGTGTACCCATATCCACACCCACCCTTCAAAACTCAGAAATTTATAGAAAATCTCGGCGTTAATATATACAGAACGATAAGGCTTGACGAATCTTATTGATTGGCAGGAGCCACTATAGTTTAAAATGGTCACAGCCTTAAAAATCCAAAGATTTTTAAAAATACCATCGCGGCAGCGGCTCGGTAGCTTTCTTTGATTATCGTCGCGGCGCGGCAGCGGCAGATTCTCAACCGCGATGGACATCTCTGCCACCCACATCCTTCTCTGAGATTTTTCAGCTAAACAAATCAGATTTTTAAATTGTTGAATAAAATTAAGTTAAGTTTAGCTGTTTAGTTTAGAATTTTTGAAACAAAAAAATTATTTAATTTATTAATAGAAAAAGAAGTTTTTAATTAAAAAATCTGAACAAATGAAGAAATTATTTGAAATTAATTTTGTTTATTAAAAATTAAGTTTAACAAAAATAAAATTTTATTTTATTAAAATAAAATCAAACACAAGTTTTTTCTTCTTATTTTTACGCTTTTTTGATTTCAAAATAATGAAAAAGGTTTTGAATAAAAAGAAAATTTTTTTTAGCAGAAATTCAAACAAAAAAAAATAAATTTCAACAGTTTGCAATTACTGTTGCTGGAGGAAATGGAAAAGGACAAGAATTAAATCAACTCTCTGGTCCTCACGGGATGTTTATTGATAATGATAAATCAATTTATATTGCTGATTCTTCGAATAATCGTATTGTTAAATGGAAATTGAAATCAAGTACTGGTCAAATCATTGTAGATGAGAGTGGAACTCAAAATAATCAATTCTATTCTCCAGTAGATATAATTTTTGATAAAAAAAATAGTTCTTTTATTATTTCGAAATGGGGAAATAGACAAGTAATTCGATATTTTAATCACAATCAAACAAATCAACAAACTATTATTTCAAATATTTATTGTTTTGGTCTAACAATCGATAAAAATGGATTTATTTATGTTTCTGATTGGGAGAATCATGAAGTACGACGATGGAAAAAAGGAGATGAAAAAGGTGAATTAGTTGCAGGTGGTAATGGTAAAGGAAATCAACTTAATCAACTCAATAATCCTCTTTTTATCTTTATTGATGAAGAATATTCTCTTTATATATCAGATTATGAGAATCATCGTGTAATGAAATGGAAAAAAGATGCAAAAGAAGGAATTATTGTTGCTGGTGGAAATGATCAAGGAAATAGTCTCAAACAATTGTCTCATCCTCGAGGAGTGGTTGTTGATCATTTGGGTCAAATCTACGTGGCAGATTGTTGGAATAATCGAGTAATGCGTTGGTGTGAAGGAGATGAAGAAGGTGAAATTGTTGTTGGTGGAAATAATTGTGGAAGTCAATCAAATGAATTGTATTATCCCACAGGTTTATCATTTGATAATGAAGAAAACCTTTATGTTGCTGATTCTAATAATCATCGAGTCCAAAAATATGAAAAAATTTGAAATAAAAAATCTTTTTAATTTAATTTGATAAAATTTCGATTTTTATTTCTGAAAAATCTTGAAGAAAATAAATAAGAATAAATAAATTTGTTTTTCATTTTTAGAAAAAAAGTAAATAAATATTTTTGTTAACTTTAATTTTAATTAAAAAAACCGAAAGGAATAAAATTAAAAGAACTTCAAAGAACATTGAATTACAAAAAAATTTATTTTTACAGAAAGATCAAATAAAATAATTTTCATATGGAGAAAAAAGATTTAAATTAATAAACAAAACTTGTAAATAGAAATTTTATTAGATTTAGTTTTGTAATTTCATGATTTATTGAGCGAAAGGGAAGAGAGAAGAGAAAAGATAAATGAATAAGAATGAAATCTATCAAAGGGTGGATGTGGGTATGAGTATATATTCATCACACACCTGCACTCACCTCTTCTCACTTATCTACACAGACACCCTTAAAAAACAGTAAGTATCTACCTAATAGAAGAACTTATGTTGGTCGTATTAAAAATCTACATAGATGAGAGGATAAAGACATAATTAACAAAACACTTAATAAAAATCACTGCGTTTTTGTACAAAGAAACACAGTTCAATGAATAAAACAGTTATTCAAATCACCTTTGAAAAAATCAAAAATATCATAAGATAATATTGTTAATAGTTTTCAATTAACGGCATATTCCGCATATCCATATATTGTTGAAATCACATTGGCTTCGCCATTATTACCTGATAAAGTTACTCAACCAGTTGTCAATGCAATTGTTGATCGATCTAATTTGGTTTCGCGTTTTTTTAATATCATTTGCTAATGATAACAATGCCATAACAATTTCTTGGCATGTTTGATCTGTGTCAATCATTCCGAGACAACGATATTGCGCAAATGCTAGACATCAAAATACCTGATATATGCTTTTAAAGATGTAATTTATATTTGATTATTTTTTTGATAAATCACCATATTGTTCTACATATTGTCGAATGATAATAAGACATCGTTCATTTCAACTCCAAAAATATCCTGAACAATATAAAGGACAAATCTCATACAAATGAAATGTATAATTATATTTATAACAAAAATATACTTTTAGAAACATTTTACTATTTCAAAACTAAATAATCGAATGACATATAAACGTATCGAGTTATATCGTTTTCGATAAAAGTGCTCAATACTAAGAGCTTTACTATAAACGTAGGAGAAAAAATAAAATAATAAAATTTTCTTTCTCTTCGATTACCGTTTAACAAGTGCGTATAAGTTCCTGAACAAGAGCTGCGTCTGAACCGTGAAATACCTGCTCAATTGGTAGTTTCAGATGCATACAAAAAACTATCCTATCTTGTAAAGCAAAGGTTTTTTAGGCATGTAACCAAATTTTCGTATTTAAAGATCGAATTGGCTGAGGTGCACAACTCAGATTAGCAGTACCTAAAATATCTTTTGACGGCCAGCAGAAATATTTGGCTCTTTTTTTTCAGCTGATTTCGCGATATCTTTTTCAGTAGTGCATGATAGAGGACACTTGTGTATGCATGTTGATTTCAGTTTTATCCACATCCGCTCACCCCACCCTCACCTAAAATGCATCCAGCCTAAACCGTTTTGATCTGATGAGTTTAGGTTTAGATTTGACTGTGCATAAGACGTCAAAACTTTCGATATTTAACCCAAACTGAGTAATCAAAACTCAAGCTCCAACAGTATAGGTTTGGTGCATTTTTATCGACGCCCACCCTGCACCCTAGTCTCTGTTACGAACGACTAGTTAGTCTAGTCTGGTTAAGTTGTTCACCAATGTCATATATTATGATAAAGCAACTTACACACAAACGAAAATCTCAATGCTTACTGAATGCATATAAGTAATAGAATTCATAGATTGTATGACATGCAAAATTGAAAATTGAAACCCTA